CTTGGAGGCCGAGGAGGGTGGTCACGAGGTCAGGATGATCGAGACCATCCTTGCTAATAGTGAAAAGCCTGTTGGTCGTCTACCAAAAATACAACGAAGTGCCAGGGTGTGGTGGCAGGCGCATGAGTCCCAGCTACTCAGAAGCATGTAGAAAATATACAATATAAATTCAGACATGCTCTTTTTAAGTTTTACACTTAGAGATACAATAATGGCAACAACAATAAAAAGATACAAATATACAAATTCATTTTTGAGTATTTAAGAGACACTTTAAGATTTTCTTTAAAAACCTAGAACGGCTGGGCATAGTAGCTCATGCCTGTAATCCCAGCACTTTGGGAGCCTGAGGTGGGGGGATGGTTTGAGTCCAGGAGTTTGAGACCAGCCTGGACAATATATCGAGATCCCAGTCTCTGCAAAAAATACAAAAATTAGCCCGGGTTTGGTAGTGCACACCTGTAGTCCCAGATACTCAGGGGGCTGAAGTGCAAGGATCATTTGATACCAGGAGGTACAGGCTGCAGTGAGCTGTGATCACGCCACTGCACTCCAGCCTGGGGGACAGAGAGAGACCCTGTCTGAAAACGAATAAATAAATAAGTACGTAATAAAAAGCTAGTATTGATGTGGAGAAATAAACTCTCATACACTGTTGGTAGGAATGTAAAATGGCACCGTCTCTGTGAAAAAGTCTGTAAGTTCCTCAAAAGGGTAAACACAAATTTCCACAGGATCTGGCAGTCCACTTCTAGGTAGTATACCCAAGAAAAATAAAAACATACATCTACACAAAAATTTGTAATTGAATGTTCATATTAACATCATTCATGGCCAGGCACGATGGCTCATGCCTGTAAGTCTAGAAGTTTGGGAGGCCGAGGTAAGAGGATCGCTTGAGCCCAGGAGTTCAAAACCAGCCTGGGGAACATGGTGAAACCCCATCTCTACAATAATGAAATTAGGCCGGGGCGCGGTGGGCTCAAGCTGTTAATCCCAGCACTTGGGGAGGCCGAGATGGGCGGCACCAAGGTCGGGAGATCGAGGACCATCCTGGGCTAAAATGGTGTAAACCCGTCTACTAAAAATACAAAAAACTAGCCGGGTGAGGCGGCGGGCGCCTGTAGTCCCAGCTATCGGAGGCTGAGGGCAGGAGAATGGCCTGAACCCAGGGCGGAGCTTGCAGGTGAGCTGAGATCCGGCCACTGCACTCCAGCCTGGCAACAGAGCAAGACTCCGTCTCAAAAAAAAAAAAAAAGAAAAATTAGACAGGCATGGTGGTGCACGCCTATGGTCCCAGCTACTCAGGAGGCTGGGGTGGGAGAATCACTTGAGCCGAGGCAGAGGTTCCAGTGAGCTGAGATGGCACCACTGCACTCCAGCATGATGCAGCATGGGTGTCAGAGCGAGACCCTGTCTTAAACAAAAACAAAAACAAAAAACCAAAACACGTTATTCAAAGAGGCAAAAAGTGAAAATAACCCAATTGTCCATCAACTAATAGATGGATAAATTAAATATATCCACAGTATGGAATATTAGGAATAAAAAAGAATGAAATTCTGATACAAGCTGCAAAATAAATAAACTTGGAAAACATCATGCTAAGGAAAGAAGCAAGTCATAAAAGATCACATATGATATGATTCCATTTATATGAAATGTTCACAATAGGCAAGTTTATAGTGACAGAAAGTAGTGGTTGTCTAGGGCTGGGGAGGAACAGAGAGGCATTCAGAGAAAATGGGGAGTGACAGTCAATAGGTATGGAGTTCCTTTTTAGGATGATGAAAATGTTCTAAACTGACTGTGGTAATGACTGCACAACTCTGTGAATATACTAAAAAACAATGAACACTTTCAATGGGTGAATTGTACAGCATGTGCCCAGCATGGAAAGCTTACCTCTCACAGACTTTATAGCCTTCGTTGACACTCACTGCTTTGTATTTCATGTTGCCTTTGGTCCGTTCCAGTTCCCAACACCAGTCCTTAAGTGTGTCAAACATTATGGTATGGTTCTTGGGATCAGTGACTAAGAGAACAAAATGTAAAAGACAATAAAATCCTTCCATGAAGCACTGGTATTTTCATTATGTGACAGTCCCTCCTTAGGTTTTGGTTTCCTCCACTAAGCCCATTTTTATCCAAGCAGAATAAATTGATTGCTTAATCCCAACCTTGTTCCATTTTTGTCATTAATCCAAAATTATGACTGAGTCTCTGTCTTTTTTTTTTTTTTTTTTTGGAGATGGAGTCTTACTCTATTGCCCCTGCCGGAGTGCAGTGGCCTGTGGCGCCATCTTGGCTCACTGCAACCTCCTCCTCCTGGGTTAAAGTGATTCTCCTGCCTCAGCCTCCTGAGCAGCTGGGACTACAGGAACGTACCACCACATATGGCTAATTTTTGTATTTTTAGTAGAGATGGGGTTTCACCATGTTGGCCAGGTTGGTCTCAAACTCCTGACCTCAAGTGATCAACCTGCCTCAGCCTCCCCAAGTGCTGGGAGTACAGGAGTGAGCCATCACACCCGGCCAGCTCAGTCTTTTTACATTGTAGGAACTGAGTTCCACTCCTTGGAAAAGTAATTTATAGCTCCATTTCTAGTCATCTGATCATGAGTTAATTTATATAACACAAGAAGATCATGTGAAGCACTAAAATATAGGCTTGGCACAAATGCTAAAGTGACAAAATATTTTTAGCCCTGCCAATGTGTGCATAAGACGGCCAACTAATTTGAATAGTATCTCAGGCTCTTCAATGTAAATCCTCCTTCAGTTTGAAGATGCACTGCTTGTAAGAGGATTTGTCTAGTGTGACAACTGGTTACTGAATAGCCATGGTGAGGATCAGGGCCTGCTAGCCAAGGGCTGAATCATGGTTATGGGCACATACTTCTATCCCCAACCCAGCCCTGCCACTACCTACTAGGATAAAATGCCCTGGAGCACTGCTCTTGCAGACTAGCAGATTGTCCTTGGTCTTCTCCCAAGCCACAGCACTGCTTGCCGGGTATTTACACATGTACCACAATAGTCTGGAGTATATACACAACTTCTATCACAAATAGTTCAAGTCTTTGCACATCTAAAAAACCAAGCCTTCTGGGAAAAACAAAGCGTTTACAAAAATTACCCCAGCTCCTTTTAATAAAACCAGATCATAGCAAAAATAAGAATGATGATGATGATGATAATAGTTAGTGCTTATATAGCACTTACTAGGTACTGTTCTGAACATAACACCTTTTTTTTTTTGAGACGGAGTCTCGTTCTTTCGCCCAGGCTGGAGTGCAGTGGTGCGATCTCGGCTCACTGCAACCTCTGCCTCCCAGGTTCAAGCGATTCTCCTGCCTCAGCCTCCTGAGTAGCTGGGATTACAGGCACCCACCAACACGCCTGGCTAATTTTTGTATTTTTAGTAGAGGCGGGGGTTTCCCCATTTTGGTAGGGCTGGTCTTGAACTCCTGACTTCATGATCCACCCACCTCGCCCTCCCAAAGTGCTGGGATTACAGGCATGCGCCACTGTGCCCAGCCTATATTACATTTCATTAACTCAATCCTCACAACCCTATAGAATAGATAATACAACAGGTATGATCATTTCCTCCATTTTACAGATATGGCGCAGAAAGGTCAAGTAACTTGCCTATGTCACAAAGCTAGGCATTAATGGAACTGGGATTCAAACCCAGGAAACTATAGAAGAAATTTCTGTAAAGTTCTAATCCTGCCCCTCCAAATCCCACCAAAAAAAAAAAAAAAAATTCCCCATGGATATAAAGTAGTAATCACATTCCCATTTACCACAGTGGGCCATCTTCTAGGCAATACAAGCAAGTCCTTCCCTAAAATGCCATGTCATAAGCATTTAGGACCTTCCAACCTAAACAAATTTGTGAATTATGAAGCCAGGGAATAATTAAAGGCATCAAATTGCAAAGCACCCACCTCTACAAACCCCTATTCAATGAAAAAGCTATTTGGTCAATTAGCATCTATGAGTTATAACCTTTACTTCTCAAAAAAAATGAGGGCTGGAAGGAAGTAGAAGAAGAGTGGAATTAAATCAGAATGAAAGATGCTATTAATACATATCCTGGGCCTCTGGCGCAAAAAGCCACCAGAAGGTAATGAAACTGCCAAGGTCGATCGAGGTAAGGGTTTTGGCATGCTGATCCACATACGTTGGCAGGCTGAGAAAGTGTCCTATGCTGGGTACAGAACAAAAATCAGGATACAAGGAAAATCAGAATTCCTGAAAGGAGAACATGATTTTGCAAATGTGTACTCAATAAACGTTTATACAAATTATAGTAATCAACAAGTCATCTTTGTATATGTCATACTGCCACAAACTCTAAGTCAGCACCCAGTTAATCAGCACTTGTATACATAACTACAGTAAAAATCTGTCATTCACAAAGATAAACTTAATGAATTAAGGGACACATTTTATGTTCAACCTAAAATTACTGGGAAGTGTATTTTATGTCAATGTTAATTCTCTGAGCATAATCCGTCCTCAGTAATATGCAGTTTTACTCTCAATTAACTCCCAATTAATGACTGCACCTTATGTGCCATCAATTAACAATTTTTAGTTCTCACAAGACTTAATGCTGCTATTTTTAAAATAAAGCAGAGGTTTTCTTATCTTAACAGAGTTAAGTGTCATCCCCAGGATCACACAGCTAGAAAGCAGCAAGGCCAGGATTTGAACACAGGTCAAATGGACACCAAAACCTATCTATACCTTTTCTATGAAATCACCATAGCTCCCAAAATGCAGCATGCTCTATGAGATAGCTACATCTCTGTACACGCCAATCCTTCTGCCCAAAATACTCCTTTAAGCCTACCAGATGCTCCATTATCTACTAAGGCCCAGGCTTCTCCCCCGATAGTCCACCCACCCCCAGAGGGTGGGTGCCTCCACAGAGGACACATCACTCAGCTTCCTCTGCTATATGACTTTACGCTTCTTTTTTTTTTTTTGACTTTACACTTCTTGAGGGCAGGGATTTAGTCCTGTTTATCTCCATATACCCACAGAGCTTGGCTCACAGCAAGCAGTCAATACATATTTACTAAACGAACGGATAGTGACAAAGCAACTCTGCCTTCCAGAAAGCCTTATGACAAAGCCTTGTGTGCTTTTAAAAGAAACTGCTAGGCTGGGCATGGTGGCTCATGCCTGTAATCCCAGCACTTTGGGAGGCCAAGGCAGGCAGATCACTTGAGGTCAGGAGTTCGAAACCAGCCTGGCCAACATAGTGAAACCCTGTCTCTACCAAAAATACAAAAATTTGCCAGGCGTAGTGGCATGTGCCTATAATCCTAGCTACTCAGGAGGCTGAGGCAGGAGAATCACTTGAACCTGCGAGGTGGAGGTTGCAGTGAGCTGAGATCCCGTCACTGCACTCCAGCCTGGGTGACAGTGTGAGACTTGTCTCAAAAACAACAACAACAACAACAACAACAACAAAAATTGCTGCCACTTCCCTGACAAAAAGTACATAGGACTCAGGATCATTCAACATCAACTTCATGTTAAGAGTAATGGAAGGAGCCGGGTGAGGTGGCTCACACCTGTAATCCCAGCACTTTGGGGGGCCAAGGCAGGAGGATTACAAGGTCAGGAGTTCGAGACCAGCCTGGCCAACATGGTGAAATGCCATCTCTACTAAAAATACAAAAAAATTAGCTGGGTGTGGTGGCACACACCTGTAATCCCAGCTACTCAGGAGGCTGAGGCAGGAGAATTGCTTGAACCTGGGAGGCAGAGGTTGCAGTGGGCGGGCGTGGTGGCGTGTGCTTGTAATCCCAGCTCCTTGGGAGGCTGATGTGGAGAACTGCTTGAATCCATAAGGCGGAGGTTGCAGTGAGCCAAGATCATGCCACTGTACTCCAGCCTGGGCGACAGTGGGAGACTCCATCTCAAAAAAAAAAAAAAAGAATAATGGACAGAACAAGTGAACAGACTGAGGCGAAAGAACAAGAAGAAAACAGACATCTGTAAAAACACATCCAATGCTAGGCATTGTTAATGGCTAATTCAGATGACCCAGAGTTTTGTTCTTAAAAGATTGCTCTCTTTTTCACCAAACTGAATGAAAAACACTGGGAACTTCAAGTTTTGTCTTACTAAATTAGTTGCTGATGTGCTTTTCTTATGTATAACTGTCCCATTCCCCCTAAAATATTTGCTATAAAGTATGCTCTGGTTGTTTAAAAACTTCCTAGGATGCAAGAAATTCTCTATAGTCTTATGAAATAAAATCAAGTATATTTAAATAGGAAAAAGAAACCAGGGACAAACATGGTTATTTTAAACGTTTCTCAATTTTGTTTCCCTATAGTCTCATATTCCTAGTTATAATATATTGATCTTATTTTTCTTTTTTTTTTTTGAGACGGAGTCTCGTTCTATTGCCAGGCTGGAGTGCAGTGGTACAATCTTGGCACACTGCAACCTCCATCTCCCAGGTTCAAGCGAGTCTCCTGCCTCAGTCTCTCAAGTAGCTGGGATTACAAGCGCACGCCACCATGCCCAGTTGATTTTTGTATTTTTAGTAGAGACAGGGTTTCACCATGTTGGCCAGGATGGTCTTCATCTCCTGACCTCATGATCCACCCACCTCAGCTTCCCAAAGGGCGGGGATTATAGGCGTGAGCCACGGTACCCAGACCTTGATCTAATCTTTCTTAAGATGTAACCAATCAAACAATCCCTTGCAAAAAGCAAGCAAACAAACCTAAAAGAAGGTAAACAAAGATCACAGGAGGCCTGGCCCAGTGGTTCACGCCTGTAATCTCAGTACTTTGGGAGGCCAAGGTGGATGGATCACTTGAGGTCAGGAGTTTGGAACCAGCCCGGCCAACATGGAAAAACCCCATCTCTACTAAAAATATAAAAATTAGTCAGTCATGGTGGTGGGCATCTGTAATCCCAGTTATTCAGGAGGCTGAGGCATGAGAACTGCTTGAACCTGGGAAGTAGAGATTGCAGTGGGCGGAAATCACGCCATTGCACCCCAGCCTGGGCTACAAAGCAAGACTCCATCTTTTAAAAAAAAAAGAAAATCACAGGAAAGAAAATGTAGATATCTGAATGAATCACTCAAGCAAGGGGTGACCAACTGGAAAAAACAAAACAACCCATAGATGGGTTTTCCCCCACTGGCTTCAGGTGGGAATTGGAAGGCTTCTGCTTATCCTCAAATTAGAACCCAGATTAGAACCCAGAAGATATTTACCTGTATTGTTTTGTGCAGCAGTCGCATAGGAAAACAGAAACAATCGTTTAAGCAGTTTAGGAGCCTGGGTATGATGAATTATGCCACTGACAATCTAAAAAAAAATTGAACAATGGATATAGTTATGCTTTTGACAGATAAACACTAAGAGACAAGAGTCAAGGTGTCTAGGTTCTCAGTCATGCCAAAGGGGTTCCAAAGGATCACACATTAATTCTCATTTGAGATCTGTATCTATCACATTAGTTTTTGGAATAATGCCAAATCAACAGGACGCTACCATTTTGTCAGGTTTTCTTTCTTTCTTTTTTAAAAATTTTTATTATTTACTTTTTTCTTTTTTCTGAGACAGAGTCTCACTCTGCTCCAGGCTAGAGTGCAGTGGCACGATCTTGGCTCATTGCAACCTACGCCTCCTGGGTTCAAGCAATTCTCCTGCCTCACCTAGAGTAGCTGGGATTACAGGTCTGCATCATCATGCTCGACTAATCTTTGTATTTTTAGAGACGGGGTTTCGCCATGTTGGCCAGGCTGGTCTCGAACTCCTGACCTCAAGTGATCTACCTGCCTCAGCCTCCCAAAGTGCTGGAATTACAGGCATGAACCACCATGCCTGGCCTATTATTATTTTTGAGACAGAGTTTCACTCTTGTTGCTCATTGCAACCTCCGCCTCCTGGGTTCAAGCGATTCTCCTGCCTCAGCCTCCAGAGTAGCTGGGACTACAGGTCTGCATCATCATGCCCAACTAATCTTTGTATTTTTAGTAGAGACGGGGTTTCACCATGTTGGCCAGGCTGGTCTCGAACTCCAAAGTGCTGGAATTACAGGCGTGAACCACCCTGCCTGGCCTATTATTGTTATTATTATTTTTGAGACAGAGTTTCACTCTTGTTGCTTATTGCAACCTCCGCCTCCTGGGTTCAAGCGATTCTTCCACCTCAGCCTCTTGAGTAGCTGCAAATACAGGCATGTGCTACCATGCCAGCTAGTTTTTTGTATTTTTAGTAGAGACAGGGTTTCGCCATGTTGGTCAGGCTGGTCTCGAACACCCGACCTCAGGTGATCTACCCACCTTGGCCTCCCAAAGTGCTGGGATTGCAAGCATTGGCCACCGTGCCCAGCCCCGTTTGTCAGGTTTTCTAAGAACTCTTAATTTCTAGGGAAAATTTTAAAACATAGTCTAATTTCTCAAAAACAAAGTGCTAAAAAAGATAAGTGCCACATTAAGTCAGATACTCCAAAACTCTGACATGTCAAAGACTTACAACTGATATCGGATGATAACCAAGACACAGCTGTTCTGATCCATTGTTGAGGCCTTTAGGACCTTCTTATGGAAGATAAGGGAAAGAAATCAATCTATCACACTTTCTGTTTGTCTACCGTGTGAAACTAAAGTGTATTTGGAAAAGTGACTAAAACCATTGTTCGAACTGAAGTTCCTGTCTTCTCAGGAAATTTTCTTTATCTATACTATTCTTTTCTTGCTCCGAATAGATACCAGTCATGTTTATTATTCTAACTGAACTACCACACTCTCTTAAAGAAAATTAAGGAGTTACCACTAAGTGTGCAAACTCACTGTAGCCAAGACAATATACATGAATAGGCCTCCTGCTAGGTTTCCCCTGATGTATTTATACCATCAGAGGGAAAAGTCTGAGATCAGTATCTTAATAAGAGAAATCTTGGATACCACTGCACTTCAGCCTGGGTGATAGAGACTCAGTCTCCAAAAAAAAAAAAAAAAAATCTTAGAAATTACAACAAATATCAAATTGATACAACTACTTTCTGAGTTCACCCAGCTGCATATCTCAACTTGCTGTGGCAACCAGGATATTAAGTTTACTTAGTCTCCAAAAGCGTATCTGATTATTTGGCTTTGCTCATCTGACCTGTATACTTCCTTCTTTCCATGTACAACCACTACCTCCCACAGGTAAACTCATTTACTCATAGAAGTTGGAATTCTCCATCACTACTGTCTTGTGGAAAGACTGTCATAAGTGGGAGAATAGGGATAAACTTTTAGCTGTCTCATCCTTCCTTCATTTTCCCCTACCGCCTCTTGACCTGGTTTACCACCTCCCACCATTTAGTGGCTCCAGGAATAAAAACATTATGAATTGAAGTATTAAAGGTACCATGTGCCAAGATGATACACAGGCAGGCTTTATCAAACTACCTTTCACATTCTAATCAAAGAATATGGGATTACAACCAATTTCAAGTTCACAGAGTAAAAGCCTCCCTTTAACCTTCATGCAACGTAAGCAAAAACTAGAGCTAGTGGGGAAAACCTGATGGGAAATAAAACCTAAAAACACATGCAACTAGTTACCCTTTTGACTTCCTCTTCCTTTGTGTACCTCAGACAAAACTGGAACACTCGAAGGTCTTTGCAGTGGATAATGAGCTTCTCAGGGTATTTCTTCAGTTGTCCAAAGAGAGTTTTCTTTTTCTCATCAAACACTACAGATCAGCAATGAAATCAGGAAGGGAAATTATGTTACACAGCAATAAGTGAATGCTAAAGAAACGAAGTCAATGATCAATTTCTAGGGATACTCCCCAAGAATGAGAGGAAATGTGCTGCCTGCCTTTTAAGTGACTGCCAAAGGAAGCCCAATCTCTTCCAGCAGGGGCCCTGGCTCTCTGAGAGCAGTCAGGGTGCTTCACTCCTCTGGAGTAAGCACAAGAACGAACAGACTGGCCACTGTTGGCAGAACTGAATCCAGTGGCCCAAAGAAAACCCACTATGAAAGCTGATCTTATAAAAGATGAAAGGGAAATGACTAGAGACATGCTTTCATGACAGTCAGCTCCTGGGTTTACAGCTAGGACCCCTCCTAAGATCCCCTCACTGTCCTAGAATTTGGACCCACTCAGCACCTAGTAGTCTTGAGAATATCATAAATGATCACTGAACGATTTCTGAAGATGCCCTGAATACAAAAATAGAGAAGTGGAACAGAGAGAGGCTTGGCAGGAGAGGCTTGTTTAGTCAGCAGAAAAGACATCCTAATGCAATACAACAGACCTTTTAATCACAGCAGCCTATAAAGTAAAACCTACACAGCTAACTCTGATTTCAGAAAGTCTGATCAACACCTAGCATATAATGGCATCGTGTGAAATATTAGAAAGAACAGGTTCCAAGTTCAAATCCAACCTCCTCTAGCTAAGTGACCCTATATAAACCACTATACATCTCAATTTTAGCATCTATAAAACAGATTTAAACAAGATGATATATGTGAAAAAAAATTTTTTAATTATAAATGGTCATAAAAATATTATCATCATTATCAGCTATACTCTCAAAGGTTGCCAACACCCCAAGGGAAAACAGATACTTACCTCCATAAATCTGATCAACACAGTGGAGTGTAATGTCATTTTCTCCTACAACCTTATTCTTAAATTGAGTTTCCTAGAAGATTCAAAAGGAAACAACTGTGACTCCTCTGCATACTGTTAGACATTTATAGGCAGAGTAAATCACCATTCTCTACCTGGATATTAAGAAAAATGGGGAAATGCAGCGACATTCCTAAAAAAGGGACAATGAAGTATGTGAGAAAAGCTCCTGAGATTCATTCTGAGACAGGGTTTAGCTGTCACTCAGGCTAGGCTAGAGTGCAGTGGGGCAATCTTGGCTTACTGTAACCTCCACTTCTTGGGCTCAAGTTAACTTTGCACCTCAGCCTCCTGAGTAGCTGGGACTACAGGCACACACCACCTCTCTCAGCTAATTTTTGTGGTTTTTTAGAGACATGAGTTTGGCATGTTGCCCAGGCCAGTCTCGAACTCCTGAGCTCAAGCAATCCACCTGCCTCAGCCTCCCAAAGTGCTGAGATTACAGGCAAGAGCCACCGCGCCTGGACGAGAATATGCCATCTCTGGGCTCCTCCTAGGCAAACCCATCATGCCACGCACAATCACTTTGAGAAGTGCGGGGAAGTTATGTACAGGTTAACATTTCTCCACACAAATGTGAATAGGGGATTGACAGAGCTACCTGAAGTCAGCTTCAGGAAGAACAAGAGATTCAAGTTTCTGGTGAATGCTCTTTGTACAGGACTATGAACCAAGCCCAAGGCCAGATGGAAGAGGCAGCACTGGTGCTACTTTTTAAAAATCAAGGGTGATCTGGGACAGTTGGCACACTGGGACCAGGACGTGCCTTGGCTGGGTTTCCACTAACATATGGTGCTCTCCTAGTGGTATGGGCAGTTCTCTCCTTACTTAATTGCTCATTCTTCATGAGTAGGAACAAATTTCACAAGGCCACTGCTACAGGTTCAGATTTAACATAAGGTGAGCTGGGTAAGGCGGCTCATGCCTGTAATCCCAGCATTTTGGGAGGCCAAACCAGGTGGATTTCTTGAGCTCAGAACTTCGAGACCAGCATGGGCAACATGGCAAAACCCTGCCTCTACCAAAAATAACAAAATTAGCCAGGCGTGATGACACACGCCTATGGTCCTAGCTACTCAGGAGACTGAGGTGGGAGGATTATTGGAGCCACGACTGTGCCACTGCACTCCAACCTGAGTGACAGAGTGAGATCCTGTCTCAAAAAAAAAATTTAAAAACACAACAAAAACAGAGTGAACCTAAGTTCAAAGGCTGCATTCACCATTGGTTTCATTACTGACTCAGTTCCTAGGTTTAAGGAAGAGCTTAGTATAGAGAAAACGTTGGGGAACTAGTATATTTGGAAGATGTTATTCCAGTGAGTGGTATATATTGCACTGAAATACAGAATAAAATTAAAAATTGACAGTGTCAACATATGAAGTCAAAAGCAAGCCAGTATGACATGAGGCACAGGTGAGAAATTTCTAAATGGTCCTGCCACTGAAAGGAGATCCTGAAAGACAGAGAGCAGGCCAGTGATGAGAAGGACTCTGTCCTTTGTGTTTATTTATGTGGGGCGGTGGGGAGGGTGCGCATGGTGGGAAGTGGAGTAACTGAGTAGCTAGGGGGAAAAAAGACAACAGAGCTACAACTGTACTATTTCCCGCAAACTTCACCAGATGCAGTTCATACATGCAGGATTTCTGTTCTTTGTGTTTATGTGTGTTAGGGGGTAGAGTAATTGAGAAGCTGGGAGAAAAAGACAACAGAACCACAACTGCACTGTTGCCCGCAAACTCTGCCAAATGCAGCCCATACATACATCACTATCCAATGCAGATTCATCATCGCCCAAGAAGGCAATCTTGAAGTCTGTGCAGACAAGCCTCCCATAGACGCCATGCTGACAGGAATCTTCCTGGACATACTTCAGTACTGTGCTGGCTTCACAAAGCAGCTGTTCACCTGATGGAAGCCAAAACAGGTCCTCCTTAAGAGTTCTCAGGGAACACACAATATGTAAACACTGAAGGCTTTCCAGCCCTATTTACATATGGACAAACACACAATACAACACGGGGCTTTAGAACTTTACACTTTTCAGCATGGCAGGAGCTGCAAAAACATAGGAGAGAAGATGAAGCAGAGTGGAAACCACCAAGAAGTGAAATTGAAATGGCTCAGATACACCTCCATGCAGGACATTTCTATCTTCTCACTGGGAATAATGGAAATGTCCAAATAGGTACTAATGATCTGAGCTGCACTTTCGTGCAGAAATCTTAGTGTTTTCATTACTTGACCCAAGCAGATGTTCCACAGAAGCAATACCCTCAGTGAACACAGATGGCCTTGCCCTAGTCTGCCCTAAAAAACGCAGATCCCAAGCCCACTTTCCTGTGAAAGGGGGCGGCTTCTAATACTGGAAGTGCTGAGAGAGAGTGGCAGTGCCTTCCTGGCCATGGGGCTTCCAGGTAGCTTCCATAGATCCAAGAGGTGCTGCAGCCTTCCACAGCATGACCACCCTTGTTCTGGCTCCACGCTGGGAGGAAAACAGAGGTCAGAGGTTTGTGGGGAAAAAACGTGTTTCCTCTCTTTCTTAGTTAAGCGTATTTCCTTTCAATGTGTCACCTGTCCTGCTCCATCTGCAGCACCCAGCAGATATGAGAAACTGCAGTCCCTGGAGACAGAAAGTATCCCTCCTTGCAGTCAAAAAGATGAGGATTAGGGAATAGGTCAGTATTCTCTGCCACCTGGAAGCAGAGGAGCCAAAGAGAAGACTATGGGGGAAATGAAAAACTAAGTATAAATGTTGTGTAACAACAACAACAACAAAAAAAACCTAAAGATTTTTCTTCTCATGCAACAGACAACCATCTTCTCCTTGGAATCTCCCTCTTGATAGCTCCTTCAAGGTCTTTAAATTTACTTTTTAGCTCACAATTTATTTAGTCTATCTTTCAATATGAAAACGAACAGTTTCAGACACTCAGAAGGGACACATATTATGGTATTGTTCCCTCATCTTTCAAGGGGTTAATTACCTCGGGCTGAAACACTAAGGAAACACCGGAAGATGGTTCAGTCACTAGGTCAGCCTCTCGAGAGATCACAGTTTGAAGGAAATAATGAAGACAGGGCCTCATTAGGGTTTAAAATAGTCCCAGAAAAAGTGTCTCTGCCAAGTCCATGGGAGAAGACATGTGAGCAAGGTTTCCTGTGCTTTCAACTCCCAACGTGAAACACCTTTTAATGGTGAGGCTCTCCCCAAGACCAGGTCAGCCCCGTCCCATGCTCATGTACTAGAGACCAGAAATTAGCATGCACTAGCTAATACAACATTCCTGGTGAGGCCCTCTGCAAACATAGCATGCTGTGCCATAATCAGCTGGTTTATACCAGATCAGAGTCTAGAAGCACAAGAGTTGGGAGCTAGAAATGATCTTTGTCTAGTTTACGAAACTAGACTCAGAGAAGTTAACTCTGAACTCACCACTGCACACCTACACCTAGATAAGACTGTGAAGTAATTCAGGGGAGGGGAGAATATGCATAATGCTAAGCTAAAAATAAAATTTCCAAATCTATAACCCCAAGAAGAGGCAAAACAAGAGGAAATTTTTTTTAATGATGACGGCTTAAGTCATCATTATAGAAAAAAAGTCTTTGACATTTAAAAACATCAAAAAAAGTTACAGAATTCTTTTAGCAAATAAGGTAGATCAGTCAGAAACTTGCACAGATTTATATCCCCTCAATAAACTGGAATAAAATAAAAAGCAGCAGAATAAAGCCTGTATTGTTTTGGGGAAATGTACCTAAAAAAACTTATTTTGAAAAAGCTATTTTGAATTAGGAAAAAGAAAGTAGAAAAAGAATTAAATACATGGATCACAGAATATCCCATATATGGAGAGGATACACCACCAAGTAGTTTCTATTCCTGAACATGGAAATGATTAAAACTTAACTTAAGCTAAAGTCACTGTCCTCTATCTCAAAAATATTCAACCAATCCAGGCTCCTTCACAATGACTGCAGGGTGAAGTGCTGGCAGCCCCAGGGCTGGTAAACCCCAGCATCCCCAGTACACGTGCTCACATGCGCAAGTGGGTATGGACCAAAAGGTAAAGTCACCCACCAATAGTTGCCTTGGGAGGCCATGGCAGTTGAATTGTTTTCCTCAATTTCCTACAGATTGGGGATCAGCATACTGGAAAAGGCCATATTAAAATGGCCTGAAAAAGGCCTCATTAGATTGTGAAAGCAGTGAGAATATCCCAGGTTTATTTTCATCAGCTTGGGGGAAGAGGAAACAAGAAAAATTCTTTGCAGATGTTGTAACACTCAGACCCAGGTGTGTAGTTACTGAACTAAAAACTTTGATATGTTTGTTCAATTCATTACTGTTATATGTGGGAGGATGAAAACAAAGGAGTTTAAATATAGCAAGGCTAGGGATGATGTAATTTATCATTGGCCTTGCCTTGCACAGGAGTTACTATGCTAACATGACAGTTACCTGGCAACAAGTGAAGAGTTACTTCCTTCTCTGTTACTTCCTTTTCGTTTGTGTGAATTTCCTAAAAGAGAAGAGCAAAGGATATTTTTCTTTGTTTAAGGGTTTAAAATGAGTAACATTAAGCTGTGCTTTCAGAATACACACTAAAATATCACATATCCTCAGGAACTTTTCCTTTATGTTACAAGCTACTTTCTTTTCTTTTTTTTTTGAGACAGAGTCTCACTCTGTCGCCAGGCTAGAGTGCAGTGGTGCGATCTCAGCTCACTGCAACATCTGCCACCCAGGTTCAAGTGATTCTCCTGTCTCAGCTTCCCGAGTAGCTGGGACTACAGGTGTGTGCCACCACACCCAGCTAACTTTTTGTATTTTTAGTGGAGACAGGGTTTCACCTTGTTGGAGAGGATGGTCTTGATCTCTTGACCTTGTGATCTGCCAGCCTCGGCCTCCCAAAGTGCTGGGATTACAGGTGTGAGCCACCATGCCAGGCCCAAGCTAAATACTTTTTAAAAACGTTTTTAACTAAAGGAAGACAGAAAACTCCAAGTTATGGATATTTAATGTATTAAACTAATTATTTAGGACCGATAACTAGTAGCTGCCCCAAGTAGAGGTGGAAAGGCGGGCGCTTCTTATCTCTCCTTATCTAAGGAACAACTTGAAGTGTCACACAGCAAAGCAAGGTTCCTCAAACGCAGAATCACAAACAAAAGAGATGGCAACGGCTGGGCGCGGTGACTCACGCCTATAATCCCAGCACTTTGCAAGGCCAAGGCGTGTGTATCACCAGGTCAGGAGATGGAGACCATCCTGGCTAACACAGTGAAACCCGTCTCTACTAAAAATATAAAAAATTAGCCAGGGTGGTGGAGGGCGCCTGTAGTCCCAGCTACTCAGGAGCCTGAGGCAGGAGAATGGCGTGAACCCGGGAAGCGGAGCTTGCAGTGAGCCAAGATCACGCCACTGCACTCCAGACTGCGCGGCAGAGCCAGACTGCATCAAAAAAAAAAAAAAAAAAGAAAAGAAAAGAGATGGCCCGGCGTGGTGGCTCAACCTGTAATCCCAGCACTTTGGGCGGCCGAAATGGGCAGATCACTTGAGGGCAGGAGTTTGAAACCAGCCTGGCCAACATGGCAAAACCTCGACTCTACTAAAAATACAAAAATTAGCCGGGTGTGGTGGTGGGTGCCTGTAATCCCAGCTACTCAGGAGGCTGAGGTAGGAGAAACACTTGAATCCCGGGGGCAGAAGTTGCAGTGAGTCGAGATTATGTCACTGTACTCCCGCCTGGGTAACAGTGAGACTCTGTCTCAAAAAAAAAGAAAAGAAAGAAAGGAGACAACATGCCACAGCATGATCTCCTCTCCTCCCAGTGAGGATCAAGGGTTGAAAGCAAAAGATGATGTGTTCTTGAGAGAATATGGACATATGAATAAGGCCCAAAGGTAAAAATAGGAAAACATGAATGTATTGAGTCAGTATTGATCCAGCTAATCTATAGCACACCAGGGCTCAGTAAAGAGAGCTGGAACATTCTTTGTCCCTTCAAAGTTACCTAAAACCACAAGACAGTGCCAAGAGATATAATCATTTCTAATAGAGAATCAAGGCCAGGTTCTGTGTCACTGCTTCTCAGTAAAAATATATTCAAGTGCCTCTATTTGGGGCTCAGTATTTATTGGATATTCAAAGATAATTAATTACAAACATGAATGAATTAATAGACCAAAGCAATGATCATATACGGCTGTTAACATAACAAAGAGAGGCACCATAGGCCTCCTAATAAAGTGTACCGCACCATCCATGAAGCGTTCTTGCCAAAATATCTAACCTCAATCTCTTGGAACTTCCATGGCAATCAGCCAATATATCAGAAACACTGGGACAGAGAAACATGTTAAATAATAGTGGGGATATAATCAGTCAAATTCTGATTGTGGAAAATTCTACAAGACACAACCAGTTTTGTCAACAATTAAAATCAGATTTTTTTTTCTTTTTTTTTGGTAGAAGGCCCTGGGTGGGAAGTTTTCTGAATTTGCTAATTCAGACTGAAATATGGCATTAGAAGAAACTTGGGTACAGCCTATCCTGAGGTTGAAGAAGAATGTTATGGCTTTTCCTGAGAACACATTTTTGAGCATCGTGTAAATTGGAGGTGATAAGATGCCAATAAACCAAGTCCGTCTGAGGCAGTGTGGTCAGATCACATGGGGAGCTTGTTATCTAAACACTCTCTGGCACCCATAAGCCTGCGGACTTACAGGGCAGGGATGCAGGCTGGCCCTCCGATTTTGTAAAAAGCTCCCCAGATGATTCTGAGGTATTGGTCTGGGGCTTAAGCAAGAGGAACTATTGTTGCGTGTTAAAAGCGATGAGTGTTTTGGTAATTTTAAAAATTCTTGGCCAGGTGTGGTGGCTCATGCCTGTAATCCCGGCACTTTAGGAGGCCTAGGTGGGCAGATTACCTGAGGTCAGGAGTTTGAGACCAGCATGGCCAACATGGCAAAACCCCGTCTCTACTAAAAATACAAAAAATTAGCCGGGCATGGTGACGGGCGCCTGTAATCCCAGCTGCTCGGGAGGCTGAAGCAGGAGAATTGCTTGAACCCAGAGGCAGAGGTTGCAGTGAGCCAAGATCGTGCCACTGCACTCCAGCCTGAGCGACAAAAGCGAGACCTGGTCTCAAAAACAAACAAACAAAAAATTATCATTGAGAGTTTTCTTCGTGTTATTGACAAAGAACTAAATTAAAGCACATTTTTTTTTTTTTTTTTTTTTTTGAGACGGAGTTTCGTTCTTGTTGCCCAGGCTGGAGTGCAATGGTGCAATCTCAGCTCACTGCAACCTCCGCCTTCTGGGTTCAAGGGATTCTCCTGCCTCAGCCTCCAAAGTAGCTGGGATTACAGGCATGCACCACCATGCCCGGCTAATTTTGTAGTTTTAGTAGAGACGGGGTTTCTCCATGTTGGCCAGGCTGGCCTCGAACTCCCGACCTCAGGTGATCCACCCACTTGGCCTCCCAAAGTGCTGGGATTACAGGTGTGAGCCACCGCAGCCAGCAAAGCACAATTTTATTTTTATTTATTTTTAGTTTTTTGAGATGCAGTCTTGCTCTGTTGTCCAGGCTGGCGTGGTGTGATCTCGGCTCACCGCAACCTCTGCCTCCTGGGTTTAAGCGATTTTCCTGCTTTAGTCTCCCAAGTAGCTGGGATTACAGGCACCTGCCACCAAGCCCAGCTAATTTTTGTATTTTTAGTAGAGCTAGGCTTGCTGGGCGTGGTGGCTCACGACTGTAATCCCAGCACTTTGGAAGGCTGAGGCAGGAAGATCACCTGAGGTCAGGAGTTCCAGACCAGCCTGACCAACATGGAGAAACCCCATCTCTACTAAAAATACAAAATTAGCTGGGGTGGTGGTACATGTCTGTAATCCCACCTACTCGGGAGGCTGAGGCAGGAGAATCGCTTGAACCTGGGAGGCGGAGGTTGCAGTGAGCCGAGACTGCGCCATTGCACTCCGGCCTGGACAACAAGAGCGAAACTCTGTCTCAAAAACAAACAAACAAACAAACAAACAAGTTATGGCTGGGCACAGCAACTCACACCTATAATCCCAACACTTCGGGAGGCTGAGGTGGGAGGACTGCTTAAGCCTAGGAGTTTGAGACGGGCTTAGGAAATACAGTGAGACTCGTCTCTACAAAACAAACAAAAAAATTAAAATATCCAGGCATGGTAGTACAAAAGCCTGAAGTCCCAGGTACTTGGGAGGCTGAGGTTAAAAGATCACTTGAGGCCAGGAGGTCAAGGCTGCAGTGAGCCATGACTGCACCACTGCATTCCAGCCTGGGAAACAGAGCAAGACCCTATCTCAAAAAAAGTTACTAACCAAGGATCTGCAAGCCCCATTAAACTCACGGCCTACACTCTTCACTGCTATGTACCATTCTAACAAACATGGTCTCCAGTTTCCCACTGCAAAAGAGAAAATCAGTGTAGCATCCATTGCTTATAAAGGAAACTCTTACTACAAAATTGATCAGAACAAGTAAGAAAAATTCCGTTAGGAGAACTGTACTTCACGTTCAAGGATCTGTCACACACAGCAGCAGTCCCCAACCTTTTTGGAGCTAGGGATTGGTTTCACAGAAGACAATCTTTCCACGGACCTGGGGTTGCTGGCAGGGGGGCAGGGGATGATTTTGGGATGAAACTGTTCTACCTCAGATCATTAGACATTACTTATATTCTCATAAGGAGTGTGCAACCTAGATCCCTCGCATGTGCAGTTCACAATAGAGTTCACGCTTCTATGAGAAACTAATGCTGCCACTGATCTCACAGGAGGTGGAGCTCAGGAGGTAAAGCTGCTGCCCCCTACTCCTACATTCACCTCCTGCAGTGCTGCCACAGACTAGTACCAGTCCACAGTCTGGGGGTTGGGGACATACAGGACAAAAGCATGTGGACGTTAAAGTCAACTGCCACTCCTGAGGACTTGCTGAGAGGCAGTCTGGTGGTTTTTACTTCACTGGTTCTTGAAAAGCCAATTCTTTGGATTCTTACCAAGTTCACATTCAGAGTGCACATCATCTCAAATGTGTGATGATCCTGGGGCACCTTAGGAGAGGTAGAAAAGAACTGGGGTGTGGTGTGTGGGGGTACAATGAAGCTCTCATAGGTCAAAACGCTTAGAAATGCTCCTATCAGCTTTAAATCAAAAACTGAAATTGTTGTTCTCAGATTAATTTTATCTAGCCAGAGGGACAAATTCTAAGAAGCAACATCTCTAAAGGTTCCAAAACAATTTATTTCCATTGCATTTGACACCAAAGTGCTAAAAGGACATAACACAGACATTTCATTTCCTAAAAGTTACCCTACTTTTCTAGAATGAACACTTAATACTCATTTTTTCCAGCTAAGTAGAAAATCTGAGGGAGAAAATGAATTTGCATCTACATATTAGGTAGGTATCCATGTATATCTTAAAACAAAATTTTTTAAAGTAGAAAGTTGTATTTTTTATGCAGCATAGTACTAATAATTTTAGTTT